TTTCAGCAGAACAAATGTGTCTGTTGGGAATGGCAGTTCATCATGGGCCCTGAGCACCCCTGCACATTTGTGGTGAGTGTCTTAAACTGCAAGACTTATCCATCTCCTAATACTGAGCCATTGCTGCAGATAGTCACAAAGGCAACCAAGTAGTGCAAGGTGGCCACAGTGTGACTACTGTTTAACTGCTCACTTCCCAGGGGAGGGGCATTATTTTGTTTTCTCATTGCCCAGGAAGTCCTGAACCCTTGGCCCAAGGTTCCTCAGCTGCGATGCAAACCCCTGCATGCGTAGCATCCACCTGAGCCATTGCACTGCCTGTGGGACATGGGGGAAGCGGGGCTGGAGAGCGAAACTGCACTGATGCTCATGCTGTTTGCTGTGTTGTAATGAACTGTCTTGTTCTAACCCATGAAGTCTCACTGTCTAGGTGCCACACCTATGAAGCTTTGGCAGGTTTACTCCTTGCCATCCTCTCTGAGGTTGGTGCTCTGCCTTGACAGCATCCCTGACCCAAAGTCACCTTTTAGGTGAGTCCTGTGTCACATAGAAATGGCCTGCTTTAGTGTCTGCCACACCAAGAAGCGCACGTGGGGAGTTTGGGTGTGTTGAAAATGCAGTGATGGGTGGTGGGTTTCAGCCATGTTGTATTTCAGTCACAACAGTATTGTATTCCTGGGCTCAACAGCTGTGGCCATCATTCAGTTATGCTCTCTGCAGTCCGAGACCTGAGAAATGCATATATACCCTGCACTGGGCCAAGCCTGAAATAACCCACTAGCCATTGGTTTTTGTTAAGCTTTGGGAACAGTGAATGTTTACTTTTTGCTTTCATGGGTTCACTTCACAGAAGACAGTTGGAATTCATTGGTGGACAAATTCCCAGTGACCTCAAACCTAAACAGGCACATTGAATAAAATGCTCACAAATGATGCTTTTTAGTTCTTGGTGTGTCAATATTCTTTGGATGTGGTCTACACCTGAGTGCATCTCTCTGTTTTTTTGCTCCCACTAATCTAGTGGGACATGTACCCAGTAAGTTCCTGTGTTGGGCAGTTTATGGACTCAGTGAATCCTAAATTGGAAATAATCCTTGTCTGGTATAGGCCATTCTTTCTGTAAACATATTTTGAAGCTCTTTGAAAGGAATAACCTGGTCATTGCCTAAATGGTATTCTAGTGAAGTGTAAAGTGCTCTGCATTGTGCTGTTATGGCCTAAGAATAAAGCCAAAGCTTTCCTGGTGTTTTTTATTTTATCTGAAAATGTAAATTTAGAAGACATAATTTTGGGTTTATTATTTTCACTATGAAGGATTTAACCTAGACTTCTTCCTTTACAAAATAAGTGGCCCCTGATTTCTGCAGGTGTTATTGGGAACTGCATCATAAAATGGATTATAAGGACAGGCCTTATTTTTCAGCAGGAAATAATTGACAATTACATTTGTGATAAGCATTTGATATTCCATAAATTAAGGATGACCAATAGTATGTCACCGAAGATAACTGGTCCCTAGATGTATCATTAAAAATACTGAAATTATGTGCCAGGTCTTATAAAGGGGCAAAACCATATGCTACCTGAATTATATTATTCTAAAATATACACTTGTCACAGAGATGTATAGCTGTTGTTATTGTATATTTATATTGTGTATTTAAAGTGAAACCAATATGCTCTCTAAAATGAAAATCAGTCAAAATTTGGTTACTTTTTGCCAACTTAGAATTTGGAATACTTTGGGGGTTATTGAAGATGATCTAGCCTTTTTAAGCTGTTTGAAGAAGTCTGAATGAATGCTTGCTTTTTTTCTCATGCCTCATGAGAAGCTGAGGCGTTTGATGTCATTCCATTCACGTTAGGTTGGGATTAGGATCTGTTTAAGAAATGTTGGTGATGATTATGATAATGTTTCTTCAAGAGGAAGGGATTTATTAACAAGGAGCTATCAAAATAGCAAAAGGACTTTCATGATTATTTAGATCCCGAAGTTTGTTGAATTTTTATTAGTACACCATATGACTGTTAAATGGTAAAGTATACTGTGTGATTGTTATTGGAGTGTATGTCTTACTCTGTGTGCTGTTTTCACTTATAGGTGCATTTATATGTGTTTATATATTGTCACTATATTATCATTTTCAGTGCCTACACAGCATTCTTTCCTGCTAATACACCGCACCAGTCTCCCACTTGGATTGTTTTAGTTTTTATTATAATTAATAGTACCACTATGAACATTTTTATACTGAGGGCCTTTAAATTTTTTCCCTTTCCTTTAAGGTTCTTTTGGATGACACTCGTCAAAGTGGAGTTATCAGGTCCAAAAGAACAGACAGAATCAAATCTTGTCGTATTGTCAGATTGCTTTTCAGAAATATCAAATTTGCAGCACCATGATCACTGTAGAATTCAAGTGTAATTCTTTTCGTACATTCAGGACAACCCTGGATTTCACCATTTTACTACTTTTTTCCTTCTCAGGAAGGTGTGTTGTGATAACTTCAGGTTATTCTAATTTGCATCTTCTGTCATTGCAAGTGAGGCTGTTTGTATATTTTTCCTTGTAGTTCTTTTGTCTTTTTAAAAATATTTAAATGGTTCCATCTCCAAGGACAGTAGATACTAGGTCATACATTTTTAATATATGTTGGCCAGCAGGCTTTGAACAGCTGTGATAAGTACCTTTCCTCCCATTCTGGTCCTCAAGTTTTCATATTTTTGACAAAAAGCATTTTGAAAATGAGGCCGGGCTGTTTACTTGAAGCTACAATTGCAAGAATAGAAACAGATCAAAGTAGTGCCACCAGGAAATAGTGGATTCCATATAAGCACACACTGATATTCTCTATCTCTCTGCCTGTCCCTATTTTCTGCCTTTCTGAGGGAGGACACACAATTAGACTTCTTTGTAAAGTCAGATGTTAATATACTTGCTGTCCCATAGACCTGAAGTCCCTAAACCCTGGGTTGTGGACCTGTACCGGTCCATGGCCTGTTAGAAAGTGGACCACGCAGCAGGGGGTGAGTAGTGGGTGAGTGAGTGAAACTTCATCTGTATTTACAGCTGTTCTCCATCACTCACATCACCGCATAAGCTCCACCTCCTGTCAGATCAGCCGTGGCATTAGATGCTCACAGGAGCTTGAACCCTACTGTAAACTGCACATGTGAAGGATCTAGGTTGAATGCTCCTTTTGAGAATCTAATTCCTGATGGTCTGAGGTAGAGCTGAGGCGGCAATGCTGTAGCCACTCTAGGGAGTGGCTAGAAATACAGATTATCTCTAGCAGAGAGGTTTGACTGCATAATAAATGTAATGTGCTTGAATCATCCCCAAGCCATCCCCCCTATCCCCAGTCCGTAGAAAAATGTCTTCCATGAAACTGATCCCTGGCACCAAAAAGGTTGGGGACCGCTGCCATAGACTGTCTTGGATACTTCATCCATTAGTAATAGAGATTGCTTTTAGAAAAGACAAACAGGTAGCAGCTGGAGGAGGGGAGGGAAAGGAGGAGGGAGAGGCTTGCTTTTCACTGTATCTTTTTTACTTTTGAATTATGTACTGAATGTATATTACCTATTAATAAAAATGAATTAAAGCCCTATGTAAGATCAGTGGTTGTCATTATTGTGGACCTTTAACAAATGGGTTTAAAGCTTATGTTACTACATGTGATGAACTTCAGTATGTAAGGGCAGGCAGGAATGAATAAGCAGATGGAAGCATCCAAGTCTGGGTGAAGGTGATATTTGGGGAGTAGAACTGCTTGCCATTCTATTTTCTAACTTTCAGTTAACCTGACATTTATGGACTAGGTACACCATAAGTGAAATTTGCTTGCCTAAAAATATTTCTCTGTGGGGTTTTGGATAAGGCTGGACCTTCCTCTGACATTGCTTCTTGAAGGCTAGGGTATGAGAACAACTAGTTGAGTGAGCATTTTCTTGTATACTGAGTGGATAGACGGAGGCCAGAGTGGTGGTTTCCATACCAGAGTGGTGTTTCTGTGTATGAAGCTGTTTGTAGCCAAGCACCGTGTTTGAGGTCAGCTGATACGTGCAGGTTCTGATTTGCTCTTTGTGATTACTTGGCTTTGGTGTTCTAGATGGGGCCTGTCCTTTCTCCATCAGGTGAGTTTTGGCAATTGCAGGGGAACGGGTATGACTGAAAAGCATGAGCTGCCCAATGGCCACATCAGTAGTTCATGTGTCTTGGAGAGGTCAAGAGGACACCTGGAGGCTTCACAGCCCCTCTGAGGAGTCAGATCTCTGAACTGCCTGCCCTAGATGTTCAGGGATAGACTTTGGAAATGAACTTACAGGGAACCCCTCAATCTCCCCTGAATTGGCTTGTGCCCATGAGGCCACATACTACCTAGACCTGCACTGTTCAGTAAGGGAGCCACTAGCCACATGTAGCTATTTAAATTGAAATAAAATGAAGAACCCAGGTCCTCCATCACACTAGTGACTCAATAAGCACATGTGGCTTGTGACTCCTGTAGTGGACTGTGCATATATAGCCAATCCCATTTCCCAGAATATTCTCTTGGAAAGTGCTGAACTGGACCGTTCAGGCATAGCAGGATGTATATAGCTGTTTGATCCACGGTGAAAGCCTCTTTGGAGCTTTCCTTGCCCACCTAAACTCTACCGGTCCTTTGAGGGTTGGTTCAATTCTAGTTCTGGGAAATTTCTCCTGACTGTTCCAGCTTGCAGCAATGACTCCCTTCTTGGAACCCCCTAGAGCACCTGAAATACTCGATGACACACTGTCTCATTGGTGTCACACTTTTGCTTGTCAGTCTTATCTTCCCATCAAGGCTGTAGGGCCCTCGGGAGCAGAGCTTAAATCCCACACTGCCTGGGAGATGTATGTGTATATGACCCACAGCCAGAATGGATTGTAAAAGCATGTATCAACCCCTTTTCTCCTGCTGTGTTTTGTATTTTTCTCTTCAGTATTTATAAGGATCAGCATGTAGGATAGCATGTCATACTTAAAAATCCATTTATTTTTGGAGGAAGATCAGCATGCTTATTTATGTCAGGTATAGGCACTTCACCTTCTGTCCTGGTTAGGAAGTCAGGGTGGGGAAGATTTGGGAAGATTGGTGTTAGATTTTGAAACCACCTTTGACAGAGCTGATGATACCTTCTTCATCATTTTAAAGCCCTGTTTGGAAGTACTGGGCTTAGCATCTGTGAACAAACCAAAAGAGATACAGACGTTTATTGGACTTTCCAATTGAAGCTGTCATGTTAGGGGATTGATAATTTAAGGCTCAGAAAGAAGCATTTCTAGAATAACTTATGGCCTTTAAGGTGCTTTCCTAAAGAGTATTTGCTTCTTTCCACAATCCTGTGAAAGAAGAAGAGAGGACAGTGAGGCCAGATACCTTGCCTAAGGTCACATGGGTAGAAAGTGGCCTGAGTTGGCACTGGGGCCAGCTCTGCACTCCGTGTGCCCTGATGCTTTTCCAGCCAGCTCTGCAGAGCCTGCCTCCCTCATCCTAGCGCATGTCTGTCTGAAAAGCCTAATGAGCTAATTCCATATGAAAAGGTAAATTTCAGCTCAAGTGTGGGCATCCATTTCAGCATGTCCAGGTGAAAGCAGTAGTGCGTTTCAAAAGGCCATCATTTTTCATCCACTTTGGGTAAATTTTCAGTTGACCTGAAGTGATCTGTTTGTTGTGTGAGCTATAAAGGACTTGTGTGGTCTCCATTTGGACCCATTTTTCTGCACCACTTGTTTTGTGCATAGGGCTCTTAAAAGCACATCCTAGTACATGGTAACAAAATGGTTATTGTATCTGTAAGGGCAGAAATGAACTTTATGTTGCTGATGCATCATGACAGGATGTGATATCACATGAAAAGACACGGCACAGGGTCATAAAGCACATCTTTTCTTATTTCCTGTAAAAGATTATATTCTCTTATACTTCTTGTGATTACCTACTTTTTATCTTCTCCAGCAGTATAACCTTGGGAACCTCAAAAATCTAGGGTTAAGGTAATAGATAGAGAATTTACCCTTGAACAAAAAGGGAAAAGCTTATCTTTTCCAATTAGTAATGCAATATTGGAATGTGCTTTTTCCTGTCATGAGTTGTCCAGTTAGCATGAGTTTGGCCATTTGTCCATTTCTTCCTCCAAAAGCTGTTATCAGAGCAAAAATAATTATCTGAATTGATAACTTCTGCCCTGGGAGTTCCTGCATTGTGCAGAATGTAGGGTTTGGAAGGAGGTGTCCCTGTCCTACTAAAGGTACAGCAGAATGTGATTTTCCTACTTGGTGGGGCACACAGTTGGAAAACTAGATGGCGTCTTTTTTACTTGCTACTGAACGCTGCAGGCTGTCCTTGATCATTGCTCAATTCTGGGAGGTAGTGGCAAGAATATGTAGCCCCTGGCTGGTGGTTAGAAGGTGTGTGTGATGAAAGCCGCAAGCCTTGTGAGGCTTGAGCCCTGGTGCTACCATTTTCTGGCTGTGTAACCTCAGGCTTCTGTAAAATAGGACATGAAAACTTGCTGAGGACTCATGGTATGGTAAGCTATAACAAATTCACTTCTGTGACTCTGGTTCCTTGTCAATAAAATGGAGATAATGCTTCACAGTGTAGATGTGAGAAAAGCACTTAGGAGAATGCCTGGCACATCGCTGGAACCTAATGTTACTTCTAGTACCCCTCACCCATCTGCTGTGAGGTTTACGTCAGAGCAATCTGTATACATAGCAGGTGATATTCTTTCAACCCCAAACTGGTGGTGGGTGGAGGTGCTGTAAGGCAGGGAGGGTGAATAAAAAACGGTCTATATTTAAAATGACATAACTGAGAGTTGTATTATAAAATGATAGATATTTTGTACCTGCAGCATCATCATCTGAATTATGTGCTTTAAGGATACTTTCACATTGATACAGTGTGGTGAACTGTGAAGACAAAAGCGAAATACTACGTTAGGCCGCTGCCCTTTGTTGGAAAGTGAATACCAGAAACACCTAGAGACCTTCAAGGGATGGAGCACAGCCACTGTGGCATCCTACACAGCAATCTCTGTGCTCTGCAGTCTCAAAGAATTATTCTCTGAGGCTCTGGCTGTTCCTACGTTTGATTTCTCATAATTCTCAGTGTTCATGACACTCAGCACGGTCCCCAGACTTGGATGCGGACCTTGGTTGCTCCTATAGGATCATTTCAGGGGCTCAGGTGTCTCACGTCACAGAAAAATGCCAGCCATGCCTTCCCCTCCCTCCTGGGGCTTAAAAAAGATTAAGAAAACTTTATGGGTCCTTCTCTGAGAGAAGATAATAATAGTAGAGGTCTGACGGGGAGAGGGAGTGGGAGGAATTTGTATTTTACCACTCCAATCTGTTTTTAAGAAATTCTCAGCAATCATGGGTTCTGGAGCAAGAAAGTGGCAGGTGAGCCTGCAGGAGTATGAAGGTGTTGGAAAGGGGATATAATGTCTCAGACGTTGGCTTTCCTCTGTGGACTTTTATCACCTCTGGGGACGTATAGGCAGAATGGTCTCAGAAGGGCACAGAATAGGCTGGGGCAGGTGGCTGGGCTACAGGGTAGCCAATCCATGGTAGTAGCAGTTCAAAAGGAAGTAGAAAATCAATGAAGTAAGGCCTAAATATGTGTGAGTTGAGAGAAGTGTGTTTTGATTGTGTGGAGAGCAGAGCATTAACAATTTGAGTCTAAGTTTTTTTTTTTGAGACTTAATCTCACTTTGTTGCCCAGGCTAGAGTGAGTGCCATGGTGTCAGCATAGCTGACAACAACCTCAAACTCCTGGGCTCAAGCAATCCTATTGTGTCAGCCTCCGAAGTAGGTGGGACTACAGGTTTGCACCACCATGCCCGGCTAATTTTTTCTATATAAATATTAGTTGGCCAATTAATTTATTTCTATTTTTAGTAGAGACGGAGTCTCACTCTTGTTCAGGCAGGTTTTGAACTCCTGACCTTGATCAATTCACCCACCTCGCCTCCCAGAGTGCTAGGATTACAGGCGTGAGCCACCACCCTCCCCCCCATTCCCCGGCCTTGAGTCTAAGTTTTTAAAGAGCATTTGAGGCGGCTTAGAGATTAAGACATTTCAAAGTAGGATACTTAAAGGGATAAACTTGGACAGGGGAAATCTAAAGCAGTGGTTCTCAACCCGGGCTGCACAGTAGAACCACCAGGAGAAACTTAAATAATACACATGCTTGGGCTTCCCTCCAATTGAATAGGACTCCCTGAGTGTGGGACAAGTATTGGCATGAATTTAAATTCTCCAGGTGGCTCTAATATGCAGCCAGGTTGGGAAGCCAGAGGGGCAGATGCTACCAAATCCCTGACAGGAGTATATTAAGTCAGTGGTTCACAGTGTTGGCTGTACATTAAAAAAAAAAAAAAAAATTACCTGGGGAGCTTTTAAAGCCACCACTGCCTGGGCTGCAACCCAGACCAATGGAATCAGAATCCTGAGGGTATGGAGGAGTTTGGCATCAGTTGTTTGTAAGGTTTGCAAGATGGTTTTGATGTGCAGGCAGGGTTGAGAAGCTCTGCTCTATGTAGTAGTTCACAAATCAGATTCATGGCTAACTGATGTGGAGACTAAATTTGACTCTGGCAGCTAAAGCATTAGTCCATTCAACAAATGTCTGTTGAGTGGCTACTGTACATCACCAGTCACTGTGTTAGGTGCTGTGGATGTGACTGTCAATGAAACAGGCAAAAAAATCCTTGCTTTTCATGAATATTATATATATATTCAAGTAAATGTAACATTAACTAGAGGGTGAGGGCAGGGATTTTTGTCTGCTTTGTTTACTGCTGAATCTCTACTGCCTGGCAGGTAGCAAGCACCTGATAAACAATTGTTGAATGAGTGAATGACTAAATGGTGAATTAACTCTATAAAGAAAAATAAAGCAGGATTAGGGGAATAGTGTGTATGCGTGTCTGTGTATGTGTGTGTGTGTTTATTTTACATGGGGTGGACAGGGAAGGCCACATTAAGGTGACTTGAGAAAAGCCTGAAGGAGATGAGTGAGTGAGCTGCACAGCTATCTGAGGGTAGAGAGTTCCTGGCAGAGGAAGAGTAAATGCAAAGGCCTTGAGGTGGGAGCATGCTTAGCATGTTAGGGGAGCAGTAATGAGGCCAGTGTGGCTGGAGTGGAGTGACAGAACAGTGATGTGGGGAAGGGAAGTGGTAGGCAGCCCATGTAGGGACTTGTAGAGCACAGTAAGAACTTTCGCATTAAGGGAAAGATAATGGCCTCTTTTTTGTGCCTGACACTGGAGAACATATGTCTTCATATATACAGAGACTACTGTTTTCATGGAGGTAAATGCCAGAAGGAATTTCTTTGCTATTCAATAAAGCATGTTGAGTATCTTAATGGAGAATATCTTTAACTATAGTTTTACAAAGGAAAATAAAAACCTAGCAAGTGAGATCAGCAAAGAAATTCCAGACAAACCAGGGAATCAGCTTGGCAAAAGGAATGGCTTGGCAGTAGGCTTCCAGACTCAGGAGTCTACCTCTCCTCTTTATAGTCTTACTTGGAAATTGTGGCCTCTGAGTAAAGCTTGAGGTTGACAAATCAATGTTATTGATAAATGTGAAGTGACTGGAAAGTTGGTGGTGGTGGTGATGGTGGTGTGTGTGTATGTACTTGCCAGGATGGGAATTAAAGCGAACCAAGAGGAAAGCAAAAATGACAAAAGCAGAGATGATCTGTACCATCAAGCCTCATGGGAGACTTCCTAAGAGGGCTTAGAGAAAGGGGTTTCCTGGGATCACAGCAAGGAGTTGGCCAGTATTTTGGAAAGCTGCCTATAAAGGGCCAGTCCTTGGCGACACTGGAAAGCAGTTGGAGTCAGCATACATTTCGCTCTAGCAGTGCCCCTCTTCTCTGAGCATTTCTTTGATCTCTGCCCCCAGCAGGCCTCTCATCTGGTCTGCCTGCGAGTGTCATGTGACTCACTCCCTTTTGGCTTTTCTCCAGAGGCTATAGAAAAAAATGCTGATGAGTGGAAGTGTGCTATGGGGATAAGGGCAATGGTGGCTTACTCTGTGACTTAACCTAAAGGTGAGGACTTTGATGAAGGGATTTTCAGGCCCCAGAAGCCAGCCCTGGCTGGGAGATATTTGGCTGTGGGAAGGTATCAACACGGGAGTGTTTCTGGAGGCCCTTGGCAGCACACTGCACAGGTGGTCCCTCGTATTTCACTTTGACTTCTGGGCCATTTCTGTCAGGGCACTATGCATCACCCTGATGGGCCAGTGAAAAATACTTACGGCAACACGGCTTGAATTTTCTGAAACTGCAATACTTTCTGTGATCAAAGACAATGTTGGAAAACAGTTATTTCTGAAACATGTAGAGATGATTGGTACAAAAATAGTCTCAATGCATTTGTCAAAGAATCATAGAAATTGGACAAACAGTGAAAGCTGAGAGAGGTGAGATCACTAGAATGCTGGGCACAGCTCCTGGCTCTTTACTCAGACCCAGGGAAAGATAGAGTGAGATGTGGTAGAAGGAGCACTGGCCAGAATGCCAAGACAGGTAGGGTCTGAAACCAGCCGCACGTCCTTGCACAACCACTCACACTCTGTGGGACTCTGGGCAAATCATCTGTACAATGAGAGAGGCTATGGATGGTTTCTAAGAACCCTACAACTTTCTGGTCATAGATAGTTTAAAAACATAGAACAAATCTTCCAGCTAAAGGAATGGGAGAGAAGAAGGTGCTGGTTGTAGGAAATCAGTATTTCCTGTAAAATATGGAGAATGCTGAGGCACCACTCTGAGTCTGAGGAGATATCAATATGCCAGTGACTAAAATTCACCCAAGAAGATAGAAATGTTAGCAAGAGAACTTTCAAAAAGACCCACAGTTAGGGAGGCAGCTGGTAGTAAAATGAGCAGTGGACTTCACTTAGTTTCACTGCTTAGAAATGAGTGATCACTGGCAAGTTACTTCTAACTTCTCTGACTCTGTTTCCTCATCTGTCATATGGGGGTGTGCCTAGTTTCTCACAAGAGGATGAAATAAAATAATGTGTATGTATTTGATATGCATTTTATAAATATGTAACCATAAGGGACCAAGAAGAGAGGACTCTTCTTGATTATCCTTTGGGCCTTGTGTTCTAGAAAAAATGTATTGTTAATAAAACCTCAGTGACATTGAATAAGAGGGAGGTCCCAATAGTTGAATTATTTGGTGAAAGTGGTTAACCAGAATATCCTGTAAATTTCCTCATCTGTTGCTAGTTATTCTAAAACATCAGAACATACTTTTGTACCTTAGGAAGTTTTGTATAGTGCACACATCTGAACTGACTTTTTTGATGACTGAGGCCACTCAGGGCCATCATTCCAAATATCAGTTTTTAAGAGTCTAGGCTAAACGCATACTGACCCCTCCAGATATACCTAGGAAGCCATTCTGATGAAGAGGGCATAGAAAAATTCAGTGTATTTGAAGGCCCCAGATAATCTGAATCAAGTTGAGATTTTATTGTCTATTCTGTGAAGCTAAGAATGTGTATCACCAGTCCTGACCTCCCTGCAGAATCCAGACTTCAATAGGCACTGCTTGTGCGATCTCTCTGCTTGAACGTCCGATGGGCCTCTCAGTTTCAACATAGTCCAAATAGAATTCTTGTCCTGACTCTCCTCCTCACTTTTGTTCCTCTCGAAGTGTTACCTGTTTTACCAAATGGTACCACCAGCCACACGGGTGTGCTCAAGCCAAAATCATAGAAATCAGCCTGATGTTTCTCTTTTCCTCACCCCAACATCCCATCCAGCAGCAGGTTCTGCTGACTCAATCCTAAAAGTATTTTCCAAATCTGTTCACTATTTACAACCTCCCACTGCGACCTCTAGTCCGAGCCACTGTAATCTCTTGGCTGCCTTGTTGTAACAGCCTCCTAACTGGTCTTCCTACTTTAACCTTATCCTTACTCAGCTCATTCTCCCAACTCCAGCCAAAGGGATTTTTTTTTTTTTCAAATTCATAAATTAGATTGTGTCACTTCTCTGGTTAAAATCATCCACAGGCTTTCCACTGCAAGTAGGAAAGTACCCCAAATTCCTTTCCATGGCCTACAACAGTCCCTAAATGATCTGGCCCCTGGCTATCTCTCTAGCCTCATCTTATATCACTTTCCTGCTCACTGTGCTCCAGGAATGACCTTTCTTTTCCTCCAACATGGCAAGCTCATCACCAATGGGCTCTTTGCACTTACTGTATCCTGAGCATGAGACCCTCTGCTTCCAAATCTTCCCGTGGCTCTCTCCTTCTTGTCATTAAGGTCAGATGTTTCTGGACTTCTTGGACCAAACTAACAAATATAGGCAGTTCCTCTCTATCATGTGTACTCTTCATTTTCTTCAAATTCATATATGAATTCCACAAGTATTTACAGAGCACCTACTATGTGCCTCTTTTCTAGGCATGGGGGGTAGTGTGAACAGATAATAATCCCTGCCCTCATGGAGCTAACATTCCAGGGAGAGGAGGTAGTTAATAAACAATAAAAATCTGTCTATCAGGTGGTATAAGCGGTAGGGATAAAATGAAAGCAGAGACGTAGAATGGGACATATTGGGGTGGCACTGAGGTTGCAATTTTGAAGAGGTTGATCAGGGAAGGCTTCATTTAGAAGGTGATATATGAGCAAAGACCTGAAGGAGGTGAGGAGTGAACTCTGCAGATCTCTGGGAGAAGAATTATACAGGCAGCCTAGCAAGTGCCAATATCCTTGAGAAAGGAGAATGCCTGGCATGTTTGAGGTCATTTTGGCTGGAGTGGAGTGATTATAGGGATCATCAGCTGAGGTGGTCAGAGAAGTCATGGGGAGGGGGAGTCGTGTCCAGACTATCTAGGGACTTTTATCCATTGTGAGGGCTCTGTAATCCCTAGGTGACGTGGGAAATACTTATTCCTGTCTAGAATTATCATGTTTATATCCCACCACCCCGACATAAACATACTTACTCCAAGTTAGAATGTAAGTCCTATGAAGGCAACGACTTTGTCTATCTTATTCACAGCTATATCCCCAGCACTTAGCACAGTGTCCAGCATAAAGAAAGTGCTCAGTGAATATTTGCTGAATGAATGAATGAATTGTGCAGGTGTTATATTACCAAAGGATACAGGCACTAAGCATGACACTTAAGCAATGAAGTTGAAGAAAATACTGACTGACACTGGATTCAGGTTGAGGAGACTTGGGATGTATACTCTAATACACTGTATGACCTTGGACAAGTCATCTCTCTACCCTGAACTTCAGTGTCTTCATCTCCAAAACCAGGGAATTATACTAGATGGCTTCTTTCTGGCTGTCACATCCCATGATTCCACAATTCAGCATACATATCAGTGATATATCACCTTCTGACTATGACATATTCATGGAATTCTGGTATACTTACTGCTATTCTATGGTTCATCTTTTAATGAATGTTATCTCCACTCCTGGGTTGGGAGGATAGCTTTCTTAACTCCTTGAGTAGGTTGGAGGCTTGAAATAGTCAAGGTCAACTCTAGCCCTGTGGTTTGAGTTTCAAGGCCACTTTTACAGTAAACATGACACTCCTACTTCTAGTCCAGTGCTGTCCTTGCTAGAACCACATTGATCCTGAGGTTTCAACAAATAGAGGACCAAAACCTCAACTCATAAATATTTTAATGAGTCAGTTCTAACAGAGAAAAGAAAATAAAGTCGGGTCCACCTTAGCTAGATTTTAATGTAAACAAATAAATTTAGGTTTAATCTTTAGCTTTAAAAGCTTTTATATATTTTAGTAGGGCAAGGGTCGTTATGTAAATCAAGTATATACTCTTAAAGAGATAAAAAATCCTAGTTGTATGGGCTCTGGTCCCTACTTAAACTATCAATGTGATATTGTGATAAACCCTTATTTACTGGCTAGTTCCCAGAGAAGCACAGTAACAGTAAACTCATAATATCACACCCAAATCATCAACAAAGTCTTAGTAGTGATTCAGACAGTGCAAACTAGTTGGCTCATGCTTACTAGTTTACTGACCTAGCAGTCCCCTAAGGTAGCTCAGCTCACTGGAAAACCCACTGTTATCTTCACATTTGACAAAAGGCAATTTCATCAATGCAATGAACAAAGTGGTGTTTTAAATATTATCTAATGAAAATTAAGAAAAAAATCAGTCCAACCTTCTGTTATTTTGGCACTAGGATCTTGGAGATGCTCTTCATCTATACTAAAAAGAAAAAGTAAAAGACATTTCATTTTCTATGTATTGAATACATGAAGGAATACTGGTTAAGCCAAAGAACAATCTGTAAAGTCATTGTGCACATAGAAACAGACCTGGAATAATGTGTCTCTGAGTTGTGAAAGCAAATGAAAATGCTACATTGACTTTATTTGGTTTTATATATGCCCCTTTTTTCTCTCCCATTGATAGAAATAATTGAGAGTTGCCTATATTACTAATTATATATGTTAAAACTATTACAAGAGGAGATATGGTCAATGGTGGGCCAGGAGTAAATGTCCTAAAATGGCATCAGGTAAAAAAGAAATCTTAATTTCATAGGGCTAAGTGGAAAAGAATGTAGTTACAACCAGGTAGATTTTGCTCCTTATACCCAGTTTCTCCCATAATACCAAGTGCTACCCCTTGAGATTTGTGAATATTCTTATAAATGGAAGAACAATTTTAGACATTTTTTGGCTATGCCAGACAAAACTGTTAATCAGACTGCAAGTCTACAATGTATTTGGTTTGTCTCTGTCCCCTATAAATACCACACAGTCTAGCCTTTGCTCCCATAGCCTTCCCCAACTTGGATAGTCTTTTTCTTATGTACATCTTACCCATCCTTAAAGGCTCCACTCAAACTCCACTGCTTTGGAGAATTATTGTCTGAATGCTGCAACTTGTACCACCCTTTCCTTCTTGGAATTCCTCTGATAGCGCCATACTATTGCGTATTTATATACTTAAGGAACTAAGTAAGAACCCCTCTGGATGGACCATTAGATGGAACATTAGTCAATTCTTAATGACCCAGTGCCTGTCTCTCAGGTTCAGGAACCTCATATATGAATGACTTGACCTAACTATACTAAATAGATCACTTTGCTGAAAAGCATGTCCCAGGAGAAGGAAGTAGGGGCCAGATAAATAGGAATGGGAGAGAAGATGAGAAGGGGAGGCCCAGGAAGTAGCCACGGCAGGGAACCAGGAGAAGGGGAGAGTGAGGGGAGGTTCAGGGGCTAAATACTGGCTTCCTCACAGACATACTTGAGGGCCTTATTCTTCCTGTAAGCATCATTTTCATTTCAGATTTCTATTTTCTTAGCCTACTCATATCACTTTAATTAATAGTACCTAGAAAATGAAGGCAAATCCTCTTCGTTATATGAGAAAGAACTCATCATTTTGTGTATAATGAAAGATGTTGATTCTGTAGAAGATGTCATTTCTTCTCCCTAGAAAAATACAAGGTAGGCATTATACAAAGTAGAGCTTATAATAAATCAAGTAAAATCTACTGTAACATTTCCATAGTTATCTATATAGCCAGCATTTCTGACCAGGTACTCTGTGTTTGGTCATGAAATCTCACATGGCTTCCCAGAAAATAGAGCAGAGTTCGTGTTAAGGAAACTGGCCTAGTGAGCTCCTGAATTGCACAGGGTTGTATCTCTGTGTTTTGGTTTTGGTTCACTGAAGCTTTTGGTTCAACCTGGGCATCATTGCAAATGGATAATCCAGGTAATTATTTCACCAGGAAATCCTGAATCATACGTATTCTCCAAACACAGGGTATGCTACAACTTTTTGGGTAGGGCCAACCCAAAAGGTTAGTGGGGCCCAGACTATTAGTAGAGGGATGGGCAACAAGACATAGGAGTTGTACATCAAAGCAATAGTGGGATTTACAGGCTGATTGTAGGAGGAATATTCAACTTATTTTGATGAACTTGCTATGTTTCCACAAGTTCACAAGTTGGAAAGGAAAAAAGTAAAAAAGTTGGCTAAGAAACTTGCCCAAAGGTCACATAGCTAGTAAGGGGCAGAGCCAGAAATCTAACCCAGATAGGCTGAATTTGCATGAATCTTTTTATGTCCAGCCCATCTTTTGGTCCTGCCCACTGGCATGGAGTTTCTGTGCACCAAACTTTCAATGAGTATTTACCAGCCAGAGTACAAAAAGTATGAAAGCTACCATTTTAAATAAGTACCTTGCATCTCTCCCAACTGGCTTCCATTTTCTGTTTTTCTTGTGTTCCTGTCTAACCTAGGACTCTTCCCATGATCTCCTTTTACTTGATCAAGGCTCCTGGATTCGTTTCCCTCTTATTGGAAATATCAGAGTTGGGAGAGACTGCCTGAATCCCATTTCTTCCTACATTGCTGGGACTGTTTGTGAAACCCTCTACCCTTGCCATAGAAATCCCGTCACTGATAGTCACATTTCTCACTTACACTAAATTGCGTCCTACTCCTCCATAAGGAAGAGTCTGTGTCTGTTGTAGATTTCAAGGTAGCTTCATTATTTCCAGAGAAAGATCTTGTCATTTTTATCTCCTCACGTTCTGTTTGGCTTAGAGATGCTTCAGTACTTTTTGTACTTAGACCAGATTTGAACTGACGACTCTTGTCTAGAGATGGAAACCTTTTCACACTCCTCTTGTTCATCGGTGGTATGGGAAGAGCCACTGAGCTTGCAGTGGGCTTCATGTCTTCTTTTACTTGATCTTCTAGTAGGCCTTCCGAAAAGTCTTCTTTTAAAACTTCATGTAAAATAGTTGCCTCTTCATCATTAGTTAAGCTCTCTTGTACTTTGTTTTCTGACTCTTCTTGATCAGTATCATTAGGTACCAGCCCAATGATAAGATCTCTTTTGTTCTGGACATCGTTTAACAGCTCCACTTTGGTGATGTCAGGCTTTGTTAGATTGTGAAAGGAATTCCTACTAGCTATCTGGAATTGAAGAGACAATGAGTGTTAGAAACAATTGCCTCAGTCATTTTTCCTGTGTTTCTATTGTAATAAGGCAGTTTTCATATGGTTTCCAGTTTCAATTTAATAAAATTATTTATCTTCAAATGTCTTATATTTACATATTAATGATATATTTAAAAGAAGAAATAAATGTATATCATAAGCAATATTTCCTTGTTTATCAAATGTTTTTGCATTCATAAATAATATCACTCCAGTCCAAAAAAGAGAACCTGATTAAGGTTCTTTCTTTTGCTTCACAGTTTACTTTTTACTTGCCAAGAAATGCAAAATGCACAAATACTGTAATTATATTCTGTTTTCATCATTTACCTTAAAGGTTTTATAATAGACTTAGCCATGAGAACATGTTTTTCTAAACTTCTTAGTAGGGAACTAGTCATAATGTAATCTAAATACAGATATATCCATGAAGAAAGACAAGGTATTGGCTGATCTGGAGTTTTTAAAATGATGAATAATAGTCAAAATTGTGAAGGCCTTGGAATGTTCTCTCCTCACCCCTCTGCCCCTAGTTCTTTGACCATGTTTTCCTAAAGAAGCTTCAAAAAATAAATCTTCATTTCTCCTCACCTCTATAGTCAAATGTCACTTTTCATTTTGCAAAGTTAAAGATGGCTCAAGGAAGAGACTGTTATAATTACGTAAATGAATTTTCCCTTTTTCAAAGCCTTTAATGATGCTACAAAACCTTTAAATTAATTTGTGTTATCAATCTTAGATCTCATCATCTCTTTGTAACACTGTACACTAGCTTTCCAATAAATGTTTCCCTAAAGGAATGTCTTGTGTGCAAAACAAACAAAGGAACTTCTCTAAGGAATGGAAACAATCAATTTTGATTATCTATGCTGATGGAAAGGAACAGTCGCTCAAAATTCAAACCAAAAAATAATTCTAAATGGCTTTGGAATTTGTCACTGTATGGGCCTTTTTTTTCCTCTTTACCATGAGTTACCAAGAAATATACGGGCCTTTAATATGCATGTATCTGATGTGTTGGGAAGTTTTGGCGCCTCAAAACAGCAAACAAACCTCTGCTGGTGGATTCCTGACTAAGGAGTAGCTGGTGAGTCATCTGGGTTCCCTAAACTCTTCTGTTGTTCTTTCTACAACCTCTACCCCCAATCTTGAGATGAATGGCATTGCTGTCCAGATTGCTGTAAAGCATCTGTCTTAGCTGTGCTGCCTAAGTCTGTTTAACTTTCCCTAAGACTGCATTTGCTCCCATTAAGTGTGGCAGGGATAATTGTTTTGGATTAAATATTCTCTTCCAACTTTCTAAGGGCTATAAAGAGATGGTTAAATACTGATAAAGGGTGCAAGTGAAGAGAGCAGGCAAGCAAGAATAAGAAGTGTGACATATTTCTGCAGATGATTAAGACTTAGTTAATGTCCTACAGTTTAGTCTCACAGATCTTGTGCCCAAGGAATTACTTACGTATAAATGAAGACTATCATGTAAATGCTAATGTTATTTTGAGAACCCAGAGAGACAAGGACATCTTGGAGCTGGAAAGGACCTTCATCTGGTTCCGGAAACTAAGGACCAAGGAGACTCCGTGAGTGTCCCAGCCTATAACAATCTCAGTGTTTGAGACTTAAAGAAGTATCCATCAATGTATTTACTAGCTCTGAGTCTTAGTTCAGTGAGTTGGAAAATAATGCTAAGGAAAACATGCTTTATACTCCAGGCAGGTTGGTTTTACAGAATTTTGCTCAGTTTTTAAGCCACAGGCCACATCTTCAGTATGAAAGCTCACCATCAGTGCAAGAGGCTCATTTATGCCAAGGGGCTTTGGTACTAAATGAGAACGTGGGGCTGGATCAATGTAACTCCATATCTGGGCAAAGTTTTATATGATGGAAGTGAAATAAGAAGGATGAAATCTAAAGAGCTTGCAGTCTCATGTTTGTTGATGAATGTCGCTAAGAAAAAAAACACTACTACTGGGGAGCCTTAAGTCAGAGGATTTAAATGACTAGTAGAGGCTGGTTTAGCTGTGGTTCTGACTGGCCCTTTTGCACCCATAGAGTACTACTATAATGCATATCCATACTCAACAACTGTGAGAATTGTAAAAGATTATATTTCTTCTAAGCTGCCAAATGAGGACTACAATTCCATTCAGTCTGGTTCGCTGTTAAGGGTATTTCCCTGTATTGCCATTCTTTAAGAAATGGCAGTGCAGTCTGACTGGCTAACGAAAACTAGCATGACACCTTTATTCAGAGCCAAATAGCTGATGGGGTAAGTTCTAGGAAGGCAGAGAGTTGCATCAGATGAATCAAGAGCACCCAATTCTACTGGGCTGGGTAGGAGCAAATTGATCACATTGGCAAATGTATTCCGTAGACCTCCCTGAGGAAGAAAGTCACAGGAGGACAGCCAGTTCTCAGTAGCCCCTCGCTTTTTTTCATCACTGCCTTTTGCACTTACCTCCAATAGCTTCACATTCAGTTGTCCCTTATTATCCAGTGACACTCGTCTGTCCTTCTTCCTGTCTCTTGCAGCAGATGAGTCTTTTGAGTATCTCCTCCCAGTTATTGCCGCTCTTCTCAGTGCTTCTATGTTGCATCCAGTGCTAAATAAGCAATTTATCTGCATTTTCTCAATAGGCTGCGTTTTCACAGAAATAACTCCTAAGTGTTCTGCAACAATATCTGGATCGATATTGATTGGTTGTTTTCCACGGTGAGGAATTATTTTAACTGGAAGTTCCTCTCCAGTTAAATCTTGATCCAACTCTTTTTTCTCTAGCTCAGGCTCCATTTTAGCAGCATGCTTATGCAACCTTTCAACAATTCGACCAACGTCCAGATCGCCAAAGAAATGAGCAGGTGCATCTTTTGAGCGAATTGTTTCTAATGGACAATTTAAAACTTTGCTAATAATCAAAGAAGCCACCTTATTAGGGAAGAAGTTGTTTGTGTCTTTCATATGATAATAAAGTTCTTCACTTGTTCCTGATTGTTGTAATACATGATTATAAAGAGAATCAACAACCTGAGAAATCATTTCTACACTTTCTGGATTTAAAACGTGTTCTTCAGGATTAGCAACTATAACACTGATGTTTTTCCTGGAAATTTCAGCTGTCACGGATTTTGTTAATTGAGATGCAATTTTACTTATCTCAGGCTTTGATAAGGTTTTAGCATCTTTGCTTGAGGCACTTGGCAACTTCACTAGTCTGGCCAAAAACAAGGCCAATATTTCTTCTAAAAACGTGGCATCTACCACAGCATCTTGTCTGGCTGTTCCTTTGAACAGCTGTTCCTGTTCCTTTGTCTTAAGGTCATCAATAATCTTAACCACTTTTTCCAGAATTTTGACAGCTTCCAGAGCTAATTCTAAACTCGATGCTTCTTCTTCCACTTGAGGATGAAATTCTGAATTGGAAATTTCCCTCACCATTAAAAATCCGATTATATCAGACAGGACATTGCTCTTACCCATTAAATCTTTATACACTGAAATATGTGAGCCAGAGTGCTTTAAAACACTGCTATAAACAGAAGAAAACTACTTTTTCAATAGTTGCCCTGTCTGCTACAGACACAGTGGGTGATCCTTTGGCTTGTGGTACAACTTTAATATGACTTTTAGACATATATTCTTGGAATGAATGTAAGATTTTTGAGGTTATTTTTTGCATTTCAGCATTTAGAGACTTGTTTGGTTCTTTATGCACTTTTGGAAACATAGATAAAAGCTTTGTTAAGAAATTTACAGAAATTTCTTCTATTATGTTAAAGGTTAGTTTGTAAGCCTGTGATGGCTGACTCTGGTGGACTTCAGTGGTTTGGACAACATCTTTAAGGATATTTTCAACCACACTGTCGACTTCTGTACACTGATACGGAGTTAGCTCTCCAGAAAAATAAGTCTGTAGCTGATTGCCAGCTATTTCCCGTACAACTAAACTAACTATGGCCTCTGAAAGCATTCTGCAACCACTGGTGACACAATTTTGTATGTTCTCTTGAGATCCAAATTGTGGCAAGAGATTATTATAAATAGTCTGAACTACTAATTGTATAATTTCATCATCATTAGGATGTAAGGATTCTACATACTGTACAATCATATGTTCATCTTTGGAGAGCGCTGTCAGAATTGTACTTACTAACTTCATTTGAAGGAAATCCAGTTCTGTGTATAAATGATCCTCACATATTTCTGTTGTAGTGTTGGCTACTGTTGAGAAAATTTTTGATAGAAGACAAGAAATTATACTCTCTAAAAATTCATGAGACAGGATTACGGTATATGGCCATGATGTCTGACATTCTTTGCAGGTTGTTTGGGGCACCTTTTGGACCTTTTTAAGAAACTCCCTAGATTCTAGAGGCAAACATCCTGAAGCTGGAAACTCATCGTAAAGTAGCAAGTCTGACTGATGCTGAAAAATTTCTTCCATTACTGCGCTAGCTAGTCTTCTTGCTAAATTTTCACTGTTACTATTAATGTCCTTACAAATGGAGTCTTGAGATCCATATTCCTGCAAAATATCGCATACAGAGGAGTGAGCAACCTTATTGACCAATGTCTTATCAATCGATGGTGTTTTAGCCATTAATGGTATCTCATGCGAAGGAGGTGTTTTAGTTGCAGGTGGCATTCTATGCATGGATGATATTTTATCCATAATTATCATTTTAATCTCAGGTGGTGCTTTATCCACAGATGGCTTTTTCTGCCTGAGAGGTACTTTATGAACAGACGAAACGTTCCTTGCAGACGGAAAGGACTGATTTTCCTGATCTGGGTTTAATACTTTAATTTGAGCATCTGAAAACTCTTTTAACAGGGAATCAATCAGTTTCATAGCTGCATCATACAACTCATCGTGATTTACATCACTGGTTGCATTTTGACATGCATCATCTGTGTCTGGTGAGGAAGAAAAAATCAATTTGTTAACTATTTCAGAGATAACATCTTCTAAAAAGTT